CCAGCGTTGTTTTTCCCCTGTGTGCCCTTGGCATGGGGGACAGGATCTTTCTGGGTCCCTCTGCCGCGCTCTCATCCTGTCACTCTCTGTCACTCTGCTTCTCTGCTTCTCTGCCTGTGCTCCCTCCTCCAAGCAAGCGTCTGTCCCTGGCTGGGGTAGCAGACTGTTTATGAACCTAGAGAACTGCTTCAGTGCTTCCAAAGCCAAGTTTGGGCCGATCTTGATGGAATCCATTGCGTCCTGTTTCCTAGTTTGCGGGGGGCAGGGGGCGGGGTGGTCAGCAGAGAGCCCCTTCCCATCTCCTGCTATGCAGTGAGCTCTAGGCTCCTTGGAGGGCCCCTCAATAAATGGTTGTTTCACAACTGAGGCTCCGTCATTCACCCAGTCCCCTGGGCTCCTTCACCCACTCCTGGCTTGGGATGGAAAGTAGGAGATGAAGAGTGTCTGGGTTTAGCAAGGCTCATTCAGCTTGAGAAAGAGGGATGGCAGTTGGGAATAGTAGTGAGTGACATCTAATGACTTGCTTTGCCAAGGGACAGATAGATTATGATCATTCCCAGGGTTCAGCCAGAGATGGGCCTGTTTCCCCCTCAGCCCCCAAATTATAGTGGCCTTTTCCAGCCAGCCAAAGAAAGAGATTCTGTACCTGGAAATGCCTTCAGAAATGGTCTTGAGCCCCTTCCTCAATTCCTCCAGCTGTTAAATTGTCATCACTCCAGGCCTAAAGCTGGACCTCAGCTAGGATCCCCTTCCAGTTACCCAGAAACAGAGCTGAAAAGGGAAGCCACGTACATATATGTCCTCACCCGGTTACTGGTCTCAAACCCCAGCATCTGGGTTCCCTGAATGCTCCCCCCAAGAAGGACCCAGGCATGGAAGTCAGGGAACTTTATTCCCACACGGATTCAAATGGCAGAACTCAGAATCGCCAAGCAGCCATGGAGAGGCCTGACATGTCACCGATGGGCGGGGGACGGGGAGGCAAGTGCCTGTAGCTGAGCGCTTGATGACAGAGGAGCAGGTGGGTAGTGACCAAAAAAGGTCTAGGCATGAGCTTGGAGGGGACTAGGCAGAGGGGGAGGGGCCAGGCCCCCAGCAGGTG